GGTTTGGAACATCTCCAGAGATGGAGACTCCACACCCTCTCTGGGCAGCCTGTCCCAGGGCTCTGGCACCCTCACAGCAAAGAAGTTTTTCCTTCAGTTTGTCTGGAACTTCTGGTGTTCCAGTTTGTGCCCATTGTCCCTTGTCCTGTCACTGGGCACCACCGAGAAGAGCCCGGCCCCATCCATTTGGCCCCCACATCTCAGATCTTTATAGACATTGATCAGGTCCCCTCTCAGGCTGCTCTTCTCCAGGCTGAACAGTCCCAGCTCTCTCAGCCTCTCCTCATACAGGAGATGCTCCAGGCCCCTCATCATAATCCTACACGAAGCATACTCCATGTGCAGCTGGACCTCAGAGGCTCTGTGATGGGTTCATTGCTAAAGGAGATGTTGTAGGAGACTGACTGGAAGAACAATCAACCTGAACAAACAGTTCTGGCCCCATTACTAACTTGTAATCCCCTGGAAACAAGGACTGTTTGCTCAAGGATGCAGACAATGGCAGGAGATGGAACTCAGTAAGGGAACAGGGAGTGGAGACCCCTGAGCCTTTCTGAGAAATGTCTCAAACAGTTGCAAGGATGGTGGACATAAAAGGGGAAGGCAAGTGCCAGAATGTGGGAGGAAAAAAAGAATAAGAAGGACAAGAAGAAAAAACTTCTGGATGAGTGCTCTACAGAGCAGAGAACTCCCTCGTTGGCTGGAGGAACCTGGACCAGTGTTCTCTGTCATATTCTCTCTCTCTGTCTCTCTTTCTCTCTCACTCTTTTACTTTCTTCCAGTAAGTATCACAAGGAGATCATCACACACACATGGCAAATATTGAGCATTTCTGCTACCTAACTACTTATGGACGAGCCTAGTTGCAAAATAAGTCTCTGTTTGCCCACGGACCTCATGTGTTGTGCACACCTTATTCCAAGCAAGAGAACTGACAAATCTGAGTCACATTTCCCTCTCTCCTGCTTCGGGAGAACTCTATGGGCAGGAATCCAGGATGTGACAGATATGCACTTCTTCGAGTGCTTTTTTCTTCATCCCTTCACTCCAGGAGTTGTGTAGGCTACAAAGCAGCGCTGTGTAAGCGAGGGATTTTGTACCCTTGCAGTAAACACAGGCATCACCACACCCACACAGTGAGCTGGAGTGGAAAGGACCTGTTGCTCACCTTCACTGGTGCTCTGGCCAAGCAGGTGAAGAAAGGAGCATGGATGCTTATATCTGTGTGGTTGGGAGTCAATGTGAGCATGAGGTGGCCAGACTCCATCTGGAGAGAAGCTGTGAAATCAGAAAATCCTGATGCACTGTCCATAGCTCCACCAGCTGATCCCTCCCTTCATACTGACAGAGAGCTGAAGCAGTTTTAAACCATCCATCCATAATAAAAAAAAAATCTACATGAGTGGCCCAGTGATGTTTCACAGTGATGGAGAGATCTGGTTTTTCACAGACAGGGCTTACAAGAAGCATTGACTGGCTTTGTGTCTTCCCAGCAGAGCCAGGAGGTTGTATACTGTGCTTAACATGTAACTTTTGTTTTCCCACAGGCATCTAAATACCCAGAGGAACTGCTGAGATGTTCCGAGAAGCCTTTTTTTCCACTCTCCTTTGCGTGGCTCTAGTTCCTCTTCATGCTCAGTTTGATGGGGATCTTGGAGATGTCAGTCCTACCTCCTGTGCAGGTATTAACAGGACAATTTGAGTGTCTCTCTCCTTTGTAGGCAGCAATTTTACTGAAAGCAAAGGCCATACTCAGTGGTAGAGCCTGTTCACAAGGAACTGTGGCACGTTACACCTCTGCTGCCCCTTTCATCTCCTGGACAATGCCCCTGGGTAGTGATCCATCTGTAAGGAACACCGTTCTCCCCCAAAACTCCCATTTCTGGGTTTGCATTGGAGTGCTGAGAGGTAGAGACTGAAGAGCTGGGGTCTTCTAGTGGTGGCTTCTCCCAGTTGATGCAGTAATTAATACCAGTCAGTCTCCAGAGCTCAGCTCTGTATCTGATGTCAGAGAACAGGCCATTTTGAGTTTGACAGTTTCAGCACTTTTCAGTTGCAATCACTTGCAGAGGAAGTGATTGACGTGTCCAGACTTTAAAAAAAAAGATCTTCACCATTGATTCAGTACTGAGCAGATCTTAAGATTTTGAAGTCCTGGGCACTGGAGGGTCATCTGAGCCAAACACAGATGTTACTGCTAGAGCTAGGTGGGACCTTTTTGAAAATACATCAGAGAGCAACCATTAGCCTGGCAGGCAGGGCATTCATTTAGTGCAGGAGAGCAAAAGTCATACCCTTGCTCATCTCCATTCAAACCTGGCATTTCATCCTCATTCCTTCCAGCCCAGGTGGAAAGAACTCCTGATTAGTAAGAGCTGCAACACCCTTGCAGGAAGCTGAACCTCAAGCCTCGTGCTGGTGTTTGCTCTCTTCATAACTCTATGTGCTGTGCACTATGTGCTGTCTAGTCATGCTTTTGGTTCATGTTTCTGGGGGACAGTGAAGGGGGTGCAGCAGTGCATGAAGTGCTCTGACATGTTCTGAATAATTGTCTCCATGCAGAGAAGAGGAACTGCCCCATCAACGTGTATTTCATCATTGACACCTCGGAGAGTGTTGCTCTGCAGACTGTGCCTATCCAGAGCCTCGTGGATCAAATAAAGAGGTTCATCCCTGTGTTCATCGATAAACTGGAGAGTGAGCTCTACCAGAACCAAATCTCCATCACTTGGAAGTTTGGTGGACTTCATTACTCAGATGTGGTGGAAATTTACAGCCCTTTAACGAACAGCAAAGACACATACCTCCAGAAGTTGCTGGCTATTAACTACCTTGGTCGGGGCACCTTCACAGACTGTGCCATCTCCAACATGACAGAGCAGATCCAGACCCAGATGGACTCGGGTGTGAACTTTGCAGTAGTCATCACCGATGGCCACGTCACCGGCAGCCCCTGCGGGGGGATGAAGGTGCAGGCTGAGCGGGCAAGAGACGTGGGGATCAAGCTCTTCGCAGTGGCCCCCAGTGAGAACGTCTACGAGCAGGGACTGCGGGAGATCGCCAACCTGCCCCACGAGCTGTACCGCAACAACTACGCCATCACGCAGAGAGACACCCTGGACATCGACGTGAACACCATCGAGAGGATAATCCAAGCCATGGTAAGGGAGTGCCACCTGGGGTGCAGCTTGTGTGACAGGGGGACAAGAGAAGCAGCGTGTGGGTGAGGGGGATGTTTTCAGGGAGCACCTCGAGCAGGGAAAAGCTTCTGTTTTGTTTCTCTTCCTTTTCTATGTCCTTTCAACACTTATGGGCCAAATGGAGTCTCGAGCATCTCTGATTTCTCTAGTTAGGTGCTTAACCAGGACTCCTTGGTCTGCAGCTCTGTTCCCCAGCATGTCTGGGCAGGCTGCCACCCATGTCCTGGCTCTTGCTGAAGGCCAGACCCATCGCCCAGCCTGTTCCCTGCCCAGGGGCACATGGAAGAGTTTGCAGCACCAAGACGTGTGCTCACCATCAGCGTGGTCTTTGAGGCCCCACCTGTGAGGCAGTTAGCCAGAAACTCTGCTGAGAACATCTTTAAAGCCATGGGACCTTACCACGTCCTCTCCCTCGCCATCACACACATCTCCAAGGGGGTGATGCTGTTTTTCTCTTGGGGCTGACCACCTTAACTGATTCTGTCCATCTTGTTTTCTCCTTTGCAGAAACACGAAGCCTACGGAGAGGTGAGTGAGAAGCATCTTTATGCCATTGCCACACAACACAGCTTTGAGTTGCCTCACTTAGAGAAGACCAGCTCGTACCCCACAGCAGCAGGGGTGGTGAGCTGAGCAAGATGGGTCTCTACCCACCTGGGGACCTGTCCCCTCCTTACCCTGTGGTTAAAATGGCACACAGGACTCTTCACTCTCTGCCCCTCCCCCCCCCCACCTGCAATGAGTTCAGGTCTATGGAGTAGACTCATTCTGTCGCTTTGGAGGCATGTTTTGTAGGTGCTCTGCAAGCTGAAGCTCCTTCCCTGCTGGTACCATGTAGACAGGGTTTGGCATATGCAGGGAGGCGTGCTCCAAAGGACATCCACATCTCCTGATGGCCCCAGCTTCCCTCTCTGCCCCTCCCCCCCCCCACCTGCAATGAGTTCAGGTCTATGGAGTAGACTCATTCTGTCGCTTTGGAGGCATGTTTTGTAGGTGCTCTGCAAGCTGAAGCTCCTTCCCTGCTGGTACCATGTAGACAGGGTTTGGCATATGCAGGGAGGCGTGCTCCAAAGGACATCCACATCTCCTGATGGCCCCAGACGTGCAAGCCCACACCTCTCCTTAGCAGTCCTGTTACTTCAGTTTGGGCCCAGAGCCAAGGCACAATGAACGTGCTTGTGCCAACTTTCTGCTTTTAATTTACAGGCAGCATTTTTCTGCTTGTTTGTTGCTGCCTCAGCTTTGACCCAACTGGAGCCATAGTAGTTTTCCACGCTGTGGTCACGGGGAGAGCCGTGGTGCAGAGCTGAGCTTTGAGTTCAGCAGATGAAGCAGCCACCACGCTGCAGCGCAGCCCTTACATCTCCTGCTTGGTTTGTGTTCCAGTGCTACAAGATGAGCTGCCTGGAGATTGCAGGTCCACCTGGTCTCAAGGGATATCGAGGGCAGAAGGTAAGTCACCCTGACCTTTTGTGAAGAGAATAATGACCGTGCCTGCCACAGACACTGCAGGATGCCCTAGACCTCACCTCAGCTGCAGCAGCCTTTGCAGGTGTAGCACCTGGGTGGGAAACAGCTCCCCAGCACCTGACTTGGCCCTGGGAGACCGATGTGCTGCAGTGAATGGAATAGTTTGGAAGGGACCTTAAAGCTCATCCAGTCCCAACCCCCCTGCCATCAGCAGGGACACCTTCCACTAGACCAGGTTGCTCAAAGCCTCATCCAACCTGGCCACAAACACTTCCAAGGGAGAAGCAGCCACAGCTTCTCTGGGCAACCTGGGACACTGGCTCACCACCCTCACACCAAACAATTTCTTCCTCACATCTCATCTCCATCTCCCCTCTGCCACTTTCAAGCCATCACCCCTTGTTCTGTCCCTCCCTGCCCTTGGCCAAAGTCCCTCCCCAGCCTTCTGGAAGCCCCTTCAGGTACTGGAAGGTCTCTAGAAAGTCTCATGTCCATGCTGAGGCTGATGCATTGACAACGGTGCAGAGAAGCATCCGAGCATCGGCTGTGCCAGCCAGCACCTTCAGCTCCTGAGGACACCAGGAGTGAGGCAGCAGTTGTCTGTCTGTCTGATTCTCCCACCCTCAAGAGCAGAGCTCTCACAAGTGCAGGGTGTCCCACTCTCCTGCCCCCAGCTCTGTGTGCTCCTCTCCCCATCCAGCCTTTCTCCAGCTTCCCCAGAATACAGCAGGTCCTGCTCCACCAGCACGCTCCGTAGGAGCTGCCACAGTGAGCCTGATGCTCTCAGCAATTGATGTTTTCTCACAGTCAGCACCAAGTCTGGACTTACATTGGGTTTTTTTCTTTCTCTAGGGTGCCAAGGGGAACATGGGTGAGCCAGGCTCCCCTGGGCTGAAGGGACGACAGGTGAGTTGTGGGAAGTCCCCCCAAACCCCATCCCTGGTTAGCTGAGGCCACATCTCTGCGCACTTGAGCTGACTCTCCATTTCTTCTTCCCTGAAGGGTGACCCAGGTATTGAAGGTCCCATCGGATACCCTGGTCCCAAGGTAAGAATCCCATAGCTGGTGACTGAGTTCTTTGCATACATTGATTTTTGGGAATGCTGCTTCTCCCTCCCCTCTGCCCATTTCCCACCCGA